CAATTGAGGAAAAAGGAATAAGTTAATTATGATGTGAATTGCGAACTAAGACCATTGTGATTATGGAGTCATAGGCAAGAGTGGTAGAGAAAATTAAGATCCAGTGTGTATATATATATATATATATTAAATTTAAATTTTTTTTATCTTTTCTTAAGATAGCTCTAAGAATCCTAAGGCACTACAAGAATGGTTAAATATGAACATGCATAACATTGAACCATAAACATCAATACAATTATCGAATATATAGAATCAATGCAATTAAGGTAGATCCAAATGGTTCATACTCAACACAAACAAGGGTTATTGAACATGATCGAATAAAATTTTGAAGTAAAAAGGTTTAAAAGTATCTTAGATGGAAGTGGAACTAGCCTCTAATACTAAATGATGGAAGAATCGTCCACTTATATAAGCCAAAGCAAACTTGCTAGTGAAGCTAAAGCCAACCATGGTTATGAAACCTAACTAGGCCAGTTTAGCTTAACCATCGGTGACTAGATTTGAATTCATATTCATCATTGCATTTGAATTGGTGCACCAATATCTAAATGAAGGTGAGATGAATTTGGCATCAAGTGGAAGCTGCACATGGGACCACTCATGCATTAGGAATGAATAGTGAGCTTGGGATTAGCTAAAACAATGTGTATGAAAAACTCCTATGCAACCTAGTAAAAATCAGAACCAATAAAGCCACCAAGCCCAATTAAACATGCTTAATGAAGCCCAATCTCATGCAAGCTAGAACCTAAGGCTAGGATGTAACGCCATGGAAATATCGACCTATTTAGTAGATATACATTATGTATCCATATATATGTATATATATATATATATATGTATATGTGTATATAATGAAGTATAATTTAATTTTTAATTTTTAAAAAAAAATTGTAAACTTGATATATGCATTAAAAACTATTAATTTGATGGTTGAATCATTAAAATTTAACATAGAATATGAATTATTAAGTAGAATAAGTTTACCAATAATGTGTGTATAGATGAGAGATCCCAAGAGTAAGTCTATTTAAACTTATTCTATTCAATAACTCATATTCTACGTTAAATCTTAACAATCCAACCATTAAATTAATCTTAATGTATAAATCAAATTTGTAAAGTTTTAAGATCTTTGAAAACCATTTGATACTCTATTTCTTTAATTTAAATTGACAGATAATCATACATATAAATATATATGGTGATATAAAATTATAATTCAACGATTGAATAAAAAAAGTTATATTTAGTATAAAATTATTAAATGATATAATAGTTAGTAAAAATTAAATATATTAATTGTAGCCTAACTTATAAATTAAAAAGTATGTAATTATATGTTTTTTTTATTCATTTTGAATTTTTTTATCAAATCAATTTAATATTTTTCTATTTAATTAGTTGTTAATTTAAATGATAATTTTATTTTCTTCAATTATTTTAAAAAATAATTAAATTATTTTCGCACATTTTTTAAGAGATTTTCACACATTTTTAAAATGTTAATTAAATTATTATTCATTTTTAAAATAAAATTTTCTAACATTTATAATTTTATAATATATTGAGAGCCCATACAATCATTTTTTTTTGCGTATGTATATTCTCCAACATTTTTTTTTTTTTTTATCTACGGTTATTTTTTAGTTTAATAACATTTTGTAGAAGAAGAAAAAATAACTCTTAACATGCAGCATGGTACCGCACACATGAACAAAAGTCTTATTTTTTAACAATATCTAATATTAAATTAGATTATATGATGAGAATCGAATAAAAAAAGGAAGGCGCTGAATTTTACATAAAGAAATTACAACAGTTTTTATGAGTGAAGAAACGTCATATTATTATGCAATGAATTATGCTCTCATCCCTAAAACTTGATTAAAAAATATATTACTATATGAAAGGTTGGCATCAAGCTGTAAATGATTGGATGACAGAAAACCTTCCACATATTTCATATTTAAATTATGCCAAAAAGAAAAACCCAACTTAATGTACTTTCTAGTTTTAAAATTTATAAATTAATAAAGTTGTTAAATCTACTGAAAAATTAAAGATGTTTAAATATAAATTTGAAATATTTTTGAGAATTTTTTTATTAAAAAAATATTTTTTTATAAGTTCTCAATTTTTTTTAAAGATTTTGTACGAATGAACTTTTAGTCGATTTCTTTTTCTTGTTGGCACGTGGTATTCAATTTATTTATTATCTATTATTATTATTATTAGTAGTAGTAGAGTTGAGATATTTCATTCCTCTATTAAAAATAAAATAAAAATAAAAATTAAATAATATATTAATCTAATTAGTATTATGATTAATTCATTAATTTTAAGTTCTTAAATTTGATAAAAAAAATATTTTTCCTAATTTTTTAAAATAAAAGAGTATAATGATAAAAAAAAAAAAGTGGAGACTAAAGTGGTTACTGAAAAAGTATCCCCTTTATATATTACTATAAATTATTATTATTATTATTATTATTATTATTATCAATTTTTATATAATAAATATGAATCTTATTTTAAGTGAAAGTGTTGGTTTTTCTTCAATAAGAAAATTTGTGGAAATTTTTTTAATTTCTTATTTAATTTAATTTTTATTTATCATAATTATTTATGAATTAAATATTAATATTTTAAAATAAATTATCAATAAATAAAAATAAAAGTTTCCTTACAATATAAATTATTTATCATGAATCTAAATATAATTTATATATTTAAAATATTTTAATATATTAATTTTAAATATAATTTATACATTCAAACATAATATTTATTTTATATATAATTTATTATAAATTTTAATTATGTATAATAAACATGCAATGCACAAATTAAAATAATAATAATTATTTATTCACTTTTTCTATTTTTTATTTTTTATTTTTTTATATTGTGTCACATTATTTATTAATTATTATATTTATGATTTTTCTTTTATTTGTTTTCTTTTTATCTCTTATAACAACTCCAACATTCTAAGTTAAACACTTTTAATTTTCTCTATAAAAAAATACTTTTAGTTTCTATAATCTAGTGAATGTAAAATTTTGGTGTATAAAATTTTTTTATTATAAAATTAGTCTCTTGACTTTTAAAATCAAATAATATTATCTAGCATTAATATGTCATTCAAAATCTATATAGCACAAATTCAAATACAGTACAAAAGACTCAACATGGACATAAACACGCAGATATTACAAAATAAAAAAATATAAGACACGTGAGATATATATATATAATATATAATATAATATTTACCAAAAAAATAATATATAATATAAATAATATGACAAAAATATTATATATTAATATAACGATAATTTATTAAGTCTCAAAAATAAATTATTAAGAGACATTATATTCTACAATAATTTTTTTTTTAAATCTCGAATCCTCCTTTCATTGTTTTTATTTTTATTAAGATTTTTTTCTTTTTTATTACGTGAGAATTAAGTAAGGAGAGATAGAACAATTCTCTTCATTGTTTTTATTTTTATTAATTTTTTTAAAAAAAATCTCAAATGTTACCTTCTTTGTTTATATTTTTATCAAGATTTTTTTTCTAAATCTCAAATTCTCTCTTTTTTGTTTCTATTTATATTGAGATTTATTTTTCTTTTTCTTAAAAAAAATCAAATCAACCCTTCTTTGTTTTTGTTTTAATCGAGATTTATTTTGATTTTTTAATTTTTTTTGAATCCATGTATCGAATAATGCATCAAAATGAAGATGTGTTCATTTTTAAGTATCTAAGATAGAGACACATTAATTTTGTAGGTGTTCATGATGGAGACACATCAATTTTGTAAGTGTCTGTGATGGAAACATATTCAGTTTGTGTAGACACATCTGTCAAAGTGTTCAAGGTGTGTCCACAATGTGCACCCCTAAATAGTGTCAGACTCGGGACACAATAGTCCATGTTGTACCTGTACAACATAGTTCGAAATAAAATAAAAAAGTGAATGATACTACTTGCAATTAGTTAGGCACATAAAAATAGTAGTACTAAAAATTAGTCTAACCTAATTAATTAATATTTGAGAGATATTTATATGTTTATTTATCTTTTTCATCCTAATAAGAGAGAATTTTTTATCCAATTAATTTTAAACATTTATTATCTTTTATGTAAAAGAATTATTAATGAAATAAATATATTTGAAAGAAAATATAATTAATGTAAATTGCAATAGGCAATTGGAAAATAGTCTGGTAAAAAAGGATAAGTAAAAAAGTAAAAAAGTTATTATATATATGAACAGGAGTAGTAACATATATATACAATGAAAAAGTAATATTTTTCACATAAAATTTTGAGTAATTGTTAGATAACATCACTGACGGACATGTCAATATCTTTTGTTTAAACTGAATGACATGTTAATGGTAAAGCTTAATTTCGAAAGTAAAAGACCAAATTTGCAATAAAAATATTTAAGACACCAAAATTGTATATTCATAAAATTATATAAACAAAAATATATTTAAACTTTAAAATTTTACTACATTAATTCTTATATATGAAAGACTCAATTATCCAATTCATCAAAATAAAAAAATAATTAATTTATTTGATAATAATAAATTTATCTTATATATTTATTTAAAGTATTCTTATATTGCTCATATTTATTAATATGAATAGTGATATTTTTTTATGAGAAGATTTAAAACTTAAGCCCACCACAAAACAAAAAAAAAAATCATCACTAAAGAATTTTCTCACATATTGAAAAATGGTTATCCCAATTTAATGCTTCCACTCAGCATTAATTTGATGCCTAAATTCATAGACAACTGTTCAAAAACCCTTTTTAAGTCTACCATTCATTCATTAAATCCTTAAAAACGCAAGAAGAGTGGAGAAAAAGAAGGGAAAAATAACAAAAAGGGGATAAGAATATATGCCAAAAATAAAAAAGGGATAAGAATAAGTTAGAAAAATAAGAGAAAAAAAGAAGAGCATGAGGCAGAGCCAGCCAGGTAAGCATAATTCAGGTTGGCAAATGGAGTCTTGGCGTTTCTCTCTCCTCCATTGGGGGAAGAGAGAGAGAGAGAAACGGAGGAAATGACAGACTGGCATTAAGGAGGTTAAGCATTCTCTTTCTCTGTCTCTATATATCTTAACTCTTTTTTAAACATTCTTCAGGTTTTAATCTTTGTGATTTTTGAGATAGGACGAGCCTTTGGTGTTTGGATCTTCAAGAAAGAGAGACACTTGGGATTTTTTCGTCACCATGAGTCTCTTCGGTCTTGGAAACAGGTTCCTCATATCAATTTCTCTCATTTTCTTTCTTCTGCTTCATCTTTTCACTCTAGATTATGTGATTTTAGTTTTAAAAAACAAAAAAAAAATGTATCTTTTTATGTGGTTCTGGTTTGACCCTTTTGAGGGTGAGCTGGGATTTTGATTTCGAGGCTGCCCTTGATTTGTTTTAGATGTTTTTGCACCCCCTTTGTATGATCTTAGTGTTTACTTAATCTGCTTGGAAGTAATTGTCTTTATGTTTTTTTAAATGGGCTGGTTGATCATGTATAGAGCTATAACAGACATAATGATTGCCTTGCCTGTGTTGGTAATATATATGTGAAATTTGAATTTGATGATTACTGTGTTATAGGCTTATAGCAATAGGAATTTGTCTCATTCTGAAACTGCTAAGCTAATAGGAATTGATCAAGTGATTCAAGAAAGAGAATTCAAATGGGAATCTATATAATGTAAGGAATGTTTGGAACAAAGGAGGGGAGGAGGGAAAATATAATTTCCCAATATTGGGGCTGAGGCAAAAGTTGGAAGGAAGGAATTTTGGCTATTTTCATCTTTTAAACCAAATGAGGGTTGAAATTCCTCTTGTCCCTTTCATTCTCTTCCAATCAAACATTATGTTAAATGTTTTCAAATAGGGTGTGATATTACTATTGGGTTTTGTCATGCCAAGAATGAGATTTTTGAAGGATATTTTGCTGATTGGGTAGTGCTATGATGTCATTGGATCACACGGTCATACTTTATTTGATCTTGCAAGGATTATTTTGATGAGTTTTAGCTGCTTCTACTGTTAAATGATGAATATTATGTCATCAAAATTTAATTTTTTTGAATTTTTTGAAACTTAAATTTCGGTTATGAGAAATGGGACATAAAAATGTCATTTCTTAACGATCAAGCTGGCTTCAACAATAAACTTTTCAAAACTATTTTACAAAATTTAAAACCGTATGTACCATTTATAGGACATAGATCATTAGTAGAAACAATTATATGAGCCAAATTGCTCCAATATGCAAATTTTTCCCTGCAGGTTTTTCCTTAAATAACATGAATTGTCAGATTTGATTAATCCCTCTTCTTCTTTTGTTTTTAGTTTTTATTCTTTTGCTGGCTCATAGTGTGGTATACTTGTGTTTTGTTTCTGTTTTTTTTTTTTTTTATGATATGTGTTTTGTTTCTGTTGATGACTACTCAAACTAACCAAACTTTGATCCATGCAGAAACCAAAAAACATTTCGTCCAAAAAAGAGTGCTCCATCTGGAAGTAAGGTTGGTCCTTTTACTTCTTGTGGAGTGATCCACTGGATTCTTTATATTTTTATTTATAGTTTATATTCGATCAACTGAACCTTCTATGCATTTTAATTATGAAATACAGGGTGCTCAACTTCAAAAACACATCGATGCCACGTTGGGTAGTGGAAACTTGAGGGAAGCAGTTAAACTCCCTCCTGGCGAAGATATCAATGAGTGGCTGGCCGTGAACAGTAAGAATAATTAATATTTAGCTTTTGGCAAATATTTCCGAAGTTTCCAACTATAAATTGTTTTCTCCCCCTGCCTCTCCATATGCTTGAGACTTATTTTCCTTAACATCTCTGATGTAATTGTTTATTTACACATAGCCTGGTAACTTTGAGTATTTGGTAAATGATATTTCACTGCAAAATTGCAATTAAAACATTTTGCGCATTGCCATTTATATTTTGTTTTTATGTGCAGCCGTGGACTTCTTTAATCAAGTGAATATTTTGTTTGGTACACTTACGGAATTCTGCACACCAAGTAACTGCCCTACAATGTCTGCAGGACCAAAGTATTGTTCGATCCTTCAACTAACTCTTCTTATTTTACTTTCATAGTACTGTCATGGCTAGATTAGATTGGCTATTATATGTATCTTTTATCTGTAAGGCTTGTCTGCAATGTATTTATACCAATTGGCTTTAGAAACTTGTAACTTTTAATTATAGGTAATATCGATATATGGTTTGGTAAATATGAGGAACAAATTTCTGTACCTATCGAATGTTGGACCTTGGAGTAATGGGTTATGTAAAAAATTTAACTCCTATGAACTTGAAGTAGAGTGGGTGTGGAGTTATATGGGAGATTCTGGTTTTGAATATGCAGTTTGTGACTAAACATATTTTCCAAGATGATGAATCTATATGCATAGGGACTGGAAAAAGGAAACAGATTTCAACTATAAAACTGGGAAAAATTATTTTACATGAAATTATTGTGAACAACAGTAAACATATAAGAGCTAGTATTTAATGTATTAAACTTTACAGGTATGAGTATCGATGGGCTGATGGTGTTACTATCAAGAAACCTATTGAGGTATCTGCTCCAAAATATGTTGAGTTTTTGATGGATTGGATTGAATCTCAGCTAGATGATGAAACAATTTTCCCCCAAAAATTAGGTATGCTTGACATATTGATAAAGCTAGTGGGCTTGTTAGCTGAATTTTCTGGATTGCTATTTTCTAATTTGATGCATCATAGAACGATTTTGATTGATGGCTGCATTGCTGTAGGGGCTCCCTTTCCATCCAATTTCCGAGACGTGGTCAAGACAATTTTCAAACGATTATTCCGTGTATATGCTCACATTTATCACTCACATTTCCAGAAGATAGTGAGTTTGAAGGAAGAAGCTCATCTTAATACTTGTTTCAAGCATTTTGTTTTGTTTACTTGGGTAAGTGGTTATAAAGATAAAGTTTATTGATGCATTTGTTTCCTTCTCTTTCAATTTTGTATTGTGTTGATTGTGTGAGGGTGGAGAAATTATTTCATGGTTTGGACCACCACGTGTCTATGATCTTGGTCATTCTTCACATAACGCGTGGCTCAGTTTTTTGATTTACGAGAAAAGTTAAAATTGAGTTACATGGAGAATGGTTGGGACCATAGACACATGATAGTCCCAAACTAAACAATAATTCTCATGATGGTGCAATTTTAAGGGCATTGCCTTGTGACCTAGAGGTTGCTGGTACAAATTTTCATATTCAAATGAAAATATGGGAACATGCTTTTGTATTATTCAACTTGACTTCTGTCATCTTTTTTTATTTTCCTGTTGAATTTACTGGTTGATGTGCCATTTATGTGCAGGAATTCCGTTTAATTGATAAAGCAGAGTTAGCACCTCTTGAGGAACTTGTTGATTCTATTATACAGTTATAGAGTGGTGATGTTTTCTTTCCCTTCTTTTTTGGGAGTTTAAACATTGAAATGTAGGGTATACATTTTTGTGCCCTTGTAAGTTGTAAAATACTTTCTAAATGAAATTTTTTTAATCTTATGTATTTGTCTCTTCATTGTTGTGATGTTTGCTCAATAATCGTGTGAATTAAGCAAAACTTCCTTGTGCAGCAAGGAAAGTAATAGATGAATTGACGCTTTGTATCTTATGACAGGTGTTTTGAAATTTTTTTTATTATTTTATTTTTCTTCTTCCTCTCCACCCTCAAATTAATAACACCAGGGGAATATCATAAACAATGGCTTTCTGAAAAGAACAAGTAATTGGAGCTCTTATCCAATTACTTACAAGATAGATATTACATTTACTATTCAAATTCTTTGCATTTTGTATGTTGATCCTTGTGAACTTCTCCCATATCATCAATAAAACCATGAAAAGGAGTTTTTAAGTAGTAGTTTAAAGCTTGCTTAGTATTCAAATAAATGAAGAAAAATGTTACTTTTCCCTTTCTAATTCGGTTTTGGTATACAATTTAAATAAAATGATTGAAGATTCAATAAATATAAGATTTCTTTTATTAAATATCACAACAGATATGCATTTCAAACTTTACATATTAAATATATATATATATATATAAACTAGCCACTTTTTCTTCTTTAACCAATGTCCCAAATTAGTTTCCTGCCTGGGCATTACACAGGATCGTTAGCATTTTGGAATAATTTGTTATTTAGTTTTTGCACATAAAAGTATCTACATATTAGAATTGATGGTTAACTTACTTTAAAAAAACAAAAGTAATGGTTAACTAAAATTTCCCTAACCATAAGTTAATTATTGTTACTATCACTGTCATTTAAAATTAAGGTTATTTTTCATGCAATAAAATATTTATTTTATATTTAAATTTGTAAATCTTTAAATTTATTCTTATATTACATATTATGCTTTTATAAATGGAACACGACAAAAGTTAACATTTATTTCTATCTTATGCCCTGCACATGAATAATTAAAATTAGTCTCAAATATATTTCAATTCCTATAAAAATACTACCTTATGGTTTTGGTCCCTAAAATTTCTTTTGTTTAATTAAAGTTAGACTTAAATTTTTATATTCAAACACAACCTTAATGCTATCTTGACATTCTAAAATAATAAATATTGTGAAAAAAATCTTAAAATGATAAAATATTTAAGAGTTACAAATCTTCCCACTATCTCGTATAAAAAGTATTAAAACAAAAAATAAATACATTTAATGTCTTAAAAATATATATATATAAAATTCAATACTTATCATTTAACGTATACTTTTATATTAATAATAAAATGGATACTACTTTTAGTATCTACAATTTGTTACCAATTTTATCCTTAAATTAATTACTATAAAAATAATTATACACTATAAAAAATTACTCATTATTTAACTAAAAAGAAACTTTTTCTCGACGGCACGAAGTGACTTTTTTTTTACTACTAGTACAAATAAGATTAATAAGATAGTAAGATACTTTAGAATTATTGAAGGAATAGTTAGGAAGGATTTTAAAAATAAATAAAAAAATCAACTGTGATAAGATAATAACACCTAAAAAGCCATGCTTAACTTTTGTAGTAACAACAATTCGTTCACTGAGAATGAGTTGATAACCTGATATGCTCAGTGTTTTAAATACGCAAATAACTTTAATATTTTGACAGCCAACTACACTTGAATCAGGATTATATTTTGACTAAATTTCTGTTTATTCAACCTAACTCCTACATTTCATCAAACAAATTGCGAAAAGTGAGTTTCAAAGGAGCCAAATTGTATGAAGACTCTCATCATTAACGACATCTAGAGGCTAATTAACATGAGCAAAATGAGAACTGCCATGCACAAGAACCAAACTTTTTTGTATTATTGAGTAATGAACTATTACAATACAGCTTATTCAGTCTCACCATCTTTTCTTGACATGAAAACATATTGAATAATTTAAAATCTAGAAATGAAACAACTAGAAAACTTTTCATTATAAAGAGTGGTTAAGGATGAGGTTTGCCCCTCAAGGTATGATGTTTAATGTTTATCGTGTGTAGTGAATGGTATACGGTATACTTGGCCTGCGCATGCTTGATCCTTTAATTTGAAATGCTGCGGAGTAGCTCCGTTCCTAGCCTTTTCCTGTGCCCTATGTAAACATATGTCCATGATCTAGCCCAACTTATAAAACTTAGGACCTGTATTGATAAATTTATCCAGAAGTACTTCTAAGAGAGAAAAGAGAAAAAAATATGAAATAAGTTTGTTATAAGTTAAAATTAGCTTATTAAACTAATTTTAATTTATAGAGAAAATTATTTCATTTTTTCTTTCAATTTTTTCTCCTCAAAGTGCTTTTAGATAAATTTATTCATCGAGACCCTTATCAGATAATGGAGCTCTTGAACAATCACATTCCCACCTTCTCAAGACAGAAGTATTGAAAATAACATAGCACAGCAACCCTCATCATTGCATCATACGAAAGACCACACCTACTGTGATGTCTCTAATCTTGTTTCACATATACATCCTGGCAGAGGATTTGCATAAAAACTTTCCTCTAGCTTAGGAAATTCTCCACGCTCCCTAGGATACGGAGCACCGATTCGGTCTTCATGAAGCCTTTTCACCTTGGAGCTGAAATTCTCCCAAGAAACTTTTCCTTCATCCAACTTATCCACGAGTTTAACAAAATTTACCCTGCATAGAATCAAAATCAGCAACAGTTTCACATAGCAGAGTAGAATAAATATGATCAAACAGTCAAGCTAGATGTATTGCAGAAGAATGGTTTAAGAATATGTTACTTGTCTGGGTTGATGGTCTTTTTGAAGTTTTCGAAGCGCCTATGGCCTTGTACTGCCTTTGCCATGTTTCCATCATAAGTATAGAGAAATATATCACTCTGAAGTGCAACAATATAGTCTATACCGGCTAACATGTTCTGGTGATTCTTGAAAGGATCCAACTCTTCTTTGGAAGACAGAGAGGAATGAGAGAAAATGTTGGGGAAATGATCCTCAAGATATTTCATACTTCCTCTTCCATATGCTTCTCCAGCTACCAGATAAATCCTGGTTTGTGATGGAAAACCAAGTGCGTTAAGCAATAGGGCAGTTTCCCTAGGAGTTAATGGACAACCTCCCATCAATCTCCTCTCAGTCCCATTAATCTCTTTCTCCTTCCAGTGGCCAACTTCATACCGCATGTTTCGTAGTTCTTCATCTTCTTCTGCAGTCAAATTGTGGCTGCAGCCAGTAAATGCAAGCATATCCTTCTCATACCTGTTGAAAAAGCAGATAGAGCAAGGTGATTTCAAGCAAAATGTTTAATTTAGAATTCTTTGATAGGATATAAAATATTAGTTTATCAGTTTAAATTAAGGGTTTGTTTGGATAAACTTATCTAAAAACACTACTAGGAGAAGAGAATAAGAAATAATTCAAAATGAGTTTCTCCATAAGTTAAAACTTAACTTGTGCATAAGTTTTTTTTTAAAAAAAGATTGGAGAAGCTAATAGAAAAAAGTTGTTACAAATTAGTTTATGCGTAAACTAATTTTAGCATATGAAGAAACTTTTTTCATTTTTCCTTCCTATATTTTTTTCTTATAAGTGTTTCTAAAGAAGTTTATCCAAATAGATCCTAATACTTAGGACTCTTACTCCACAGTACAACTACTTATAGAGTATGATTCAATTTGATTTGACAGTAAAATAATAAATGAATATTTTATTATCAAGTATCAAATAATGTAATCCCCAAATGAACTTGACGTAATTGAGGTATTTATATGAACAGAGCAGAAGATCACCATAGTCATAATATGTCCTTTCGTCATTAAGAATACAGACGTACTCAGACACATAAGTATAAAGAGCAAAAAGAAGTAAAAAGAAAGGGGGGAAATGAAAGAAAGATAAGAAGAGAAGAAGATTCACTCCTCAGTTGTACTAAAATATTAGAGTTGCAACTTGCCTCAAATGAAGTGCAAGATAAGGATTTTCATTCTGTCGCATTCTAGATACTAATTTGTTTCCAAATTCTTCAATTGGAGCTGAATATTTCAATGCTCTATAATTTACACGACATCTTAGTTTTTGTATGGAACTTGAAATTCCATTATTAGCAAGTCTGGAATCAGTATGGGTGAAATAGATCACTTTGTGGTGCTTTAGGAGGGGAAGAACCTCAGTCTTGTAATAACTGGCCTGTGAACAACCACATAAATTTATTGACTGTCATTAAAACATTATGAAAAAGGGACAGAAAAAAATTGTCATTACATGGCACAAAGCAACTCAAAATAAAAATGATAACAAATGTGTCTATCATTTCACACACATTTTCTTACAAGCTACAACTAGCTGCGCCTAAAAGATTATATGGGTTGGTCACCTTAGGCAAGCATACAATAAATTGATTAATCAAACATATCATTTTGAAATTAAAAAGAAGTAATATGACATAGACAATTTATATTGACCTTAGACCAAGATATTGGAGGTTTTGAGAAAGGTTCAATTTCAGCATAGGCAGGTGGTAATGTCTCAACTATGTGGATATCATCCTTCAGCATCCCAATAAAATGTTTCCAGTCAAACAAATCCTTGAAGCCACTGCAAACATATCAAAACAAATTAACTACAGAGTAAAACATTGAATATCGAAGCTTATTTGCAACTTTAAAGGTCATTTGAGAGACAATTATCAAACTGGAAGCCGATCAATTGATATTACTGTTAACTTTAAAATAAAATGATAGCTGAATGGAAAATGTATGGGAGAAGGAGAGATTCAATGCACCAACTATATTTTCCTCGCATCTGCACTTTTGCCATTTAAGGTAAATTGAAAGTTACTAAAATTATCTTAAAAAGATGGTAACCGTAAGATTGCAATTGATGACACTTCTCAAAAGTGTAGCATAAGTTCCAACAGGCTAAATTTATTCTTACTTCATTTCTTACAGAAATTTGATCATGTCTATTTCTGTTCTGTGCAATGCCTAGATTTGAACTAGTCTAACACCACAAATTTATCAACAATCAGCATTTATTGAAATTTGAACATTAAATTAAGTTTTGGGCTTTGCAAGAATCAAAGGCATTATGCATAAACCAACCTTGCATCACCCCAGTAAGAGGTGTGATCGAGAGAAGGAAGAACAAGTGTTGCCTTCATAATCTTAGCAACAGCAACCATATCACATATCTGCATTCAAAATATATTGACACATTAGATTACTCTTGCTTCCTATCTTCCTCTAATATCTCATTAGAAACCAACACGTTCAGACCCCAAATCTCATTTGATTCAGACCACCATTAGCATTTACAAGAATATAGCCATTGGTCTTTGCATCTAGCTCTGCAAAAGAATTCAGGAGTTAGACTGTTAGAGGAGAGATCTTCGACCACAAATACAAGAAAGGAATATATTTGATAACAAGATTACATACTTTTATGATTTCTTGGCAGGTCTATACACTGTGTGAAATTCTCATAGTGGGGTTTAGACCAGATACCTGACTCCTGAATAAAAAGCAAATGTTGATAAATGAAAAGGTAAACACATCTGTGAATTTATACACCAATAAATCACCATTTTCTGTTCATTCCATATATCTTGCAATTTTATTTAACAACCAAACATAATTTACTGAATAATACACCTGAAAAAAATTAACATAGATCAGAGGCTTACTTCAACCATGCCAGCTTGGCTATCAATCACTCCTGTAGTTACCATCTTTAGAGTCCGTTCAACCTCACTGCCTCCCTCCCTATCTGCATAACCATGGGAGCTTTGATCCATTACACTTTGACTATCAATGGAGTCAGATAGTTCCTGATCAAAAGGTGAAATAATTTACTTAGTGTGACCTATTTCATTCTCATTCTACCAAAATTCTTAAAAATTACGAGAAAACTTAGATACAGTTTTTTTATATTTTTTTAAAGTTATTTTCTAGTTATAATTGATGTTTCGTTTTGGTAATATACTAATAAAGGTTAAATTTTGATCCTCGTGACAAGATAGAAGTATAAAACCGCTTCAACAACTTTGTGGCCGTGACAAACACTTAAACAGCCACAAATAATTGTGCAAGACTAAAAGTACCCGTTTTCCCCATACAGCTACTAAAACATAAAATGAATATAACTATAGAGCTAAAAATAAGGAGATAACTTGGATGGTGTTGTTCTTGGATAAGAGTTGAAATTTCATCTTATGTACTTGAATTTAATAAAGTATTTAATGAAATTTTATTAATATATATTTATACATATTATTGTGATAAAACTCTATCTCTGATTTGTAAGTTACCTTAACTAAGTTTTATAATAATAATAATGTGAGAGTTGTAGCATGATTGAAACCTGAATAGATGGATGTGATCGGAACCACCAGGCAGTGGTAGAAATCTTGAGCAGAGCCAGAAAGAAGCACACCCCACAGAAGAGCAAGAACACCCAGTGCCCAAGTTTGTTCCTTTTCTCCTTGTGGCTCCCATGAACATGATGATGATTCCTTTTCGAAACAGACCCTTCAGCAGGAA